CTGTTTAGAATGTTATCAACACATTTCTTATTGTAGGCCTATTGTAATTAATTTTGAAGTGTTATTTTTTTTTTTATATATTTTAGAGCTTTTTTCGTGAAAAATTAATAAAAGTTTAATAATAAATATATTTTTCACTTTAGTTCGCATAGACATAAAAATTGACAGAAAACTAGAGCAGGTAGGATAAAATTGAAATAACGTCGTCGGCCATATTTGGTGACGTCATAGTGAAATAACCTACCACGTGGTGAGTGTCCACCCAAGTTCAAAATACTTACTTCGGCAACCACTAAACATTTCTTTAAAAAAATTCTCCCTACTCAAACTTTCCTACAGAAATATACACTGTCAAAAATAAATGTAAAATTACAGTGAAAAATATGTAATTTCTTTAACATAACGCTGTAAAAATACCACTGCATGTTTGTACACTATAAATTTACTGTATTAGTGAGGTAACATGTAAAAATTGGAAAATTAACAATAAAAGTGTAGTTTTAAAAGTTAGAACGGTATTTTTATAACATGTAATTGGTATTCATACAACTATGTTGGTTAAAAGTACATGTATGTTGTACTTTAACTGTTTTTATGGGTAATTCTACTATTCAAACATGTTTAAATACGGGATTTGTGTACAATTACAGGAAACGTTTACTTTAGAACTTTAACATTGATAGACCTAGTCGTTGGATGGGACGAAACACTAATGTCCCGTGTACACGTTGGTGTGCACGTAAAAGACCCCTATTAGAATGTTAAAATTATATGTATATTTACAGTTATAAGTATACTTAAAATACAGTTTCATTTGTAATATCACATAGTTTGTTAATTTAGATTTAAAAGGATGTAAATGCATATGAATACAGAGCTTATGTAAGATTACATCAATTTAATGTAGAAATACAACCATATGTCAGTTTACATTATGTGAGCTGTATATTAACGGAATTGCCATTTGAATTATTATTTTTACAGCAAATTATAAATTAACTTTCAAATAGTGGCCACATCGGTTATTCCCTCTTTGGCCACATGTAAGATTACACCAAACATAATGTAAAAATACAACCATGTGTAAGCTTACATTATGTTAGCTGTATATTAACAGAATTGCCATTTGAAATAGTATTTTTACAACAAATTGTAAATTTACTGTCAAATAGTGTTCAAATAACGTTGAGGTCAATTTACTACCACAGTGTAAATTTACAGTGAGTGTAAGATAACTTTGATCTAAATTTACAACCACAGTCTAAATTTACAGTGAACGTAAATTTACCCCACTTTCTATTTACAAGAACAAGTTATTTTACACTCACTGTAAAATTACATGCTCTTTGTAAATCTAAATCTACCACTTAGGTGTAAATTTACAAGTCAGTGTTAAAATACAGTCAATGTTCTGGCAACTTTCTGTCAGTCAATTTACGGTAAAAATACACAAATATTATTTACAGTGTAGTCAGGTCCAGGACTATAGATTATCTTTGACTTATTTTAGGAAGAATTTCTACTTTTTCCTGGGCACACCTTGTAAATGTTTGTTTCGGGGTTTAGTAGCAGGGTCAATAACTCGTCAACAATTAATCACCGATATTTCTTTCTAATTGTTGGTATGGAGAATTGATTGTATGTTATTGGGACATGTTTCAATAACAGTTAACCAGATATCTGTGATGCAAAATGCATTCAAAGTTGCTTGGGAAAATTCCATATCATTCATCATAATCAGTGCGATGTGACATCAAATTGTGATTTGTTCTGATTTCGAATATCAAACAAGTATCAATACTAAACGCATTGATAATAATAATAATAATAATGAAGTTTTATATAGCGTCTTCTCCATGTTGACACATGCTCAAAACGCTTTTTGTAATGGCTCTACTGGTAAAACTGTTGAAACAGGAAAGTCTTTAGTGCGGATTTAAATTGATGAAAAGTTTGTTGATTCTTGATCTGTTGTGGAAGTTCGTTCCATAATCTAGGACCAGCTGAACTGAAAGACCTATACCCATATGACTTCAAATTATATCTTGGAACAACTAGTGACTGTTTATTTTGAGAGCGAAGTGATCTAATAGGATTGTAGTCATATAAGAGTTCAGATAAGTATTGAGGCGCTGCATTATTGCGACATTTATACACTAATGTTAGTATTTTGTATTTGACCCGCGCCTCAGCAGGTAACCAATGTAAAGAAGCCAGCACATTCTGGATGTGATCAAACTTATGTGTCCTTGTTACTATTCGGGCTGCAGTATTAAGAACCTTTTGGATCTTGGCTAGAAATGCTTGTGGGATTCCATAGAGTAAACTATTACAATAATCAATCCTTGATAAAATAAGTAATGTAATGTGCATTGATAAAAGTAAATTATACATGTACATTTATTTTAAGATAACAAAATACGTTACATCAAAGTTTTGACACACATAAGCAAGTTTCCGTTAAAAGAAGGGGTCACGCCTTTATGGAGCACCAGGTATATAGTCCCAAATATTTGACATTAATTTTCGTTAACCTCGATTTGGATCCTGACCTTGTACTCAATGTGTCATAAACAATTCCCTTTACATACCAAAATATCGCGCCTATAAGTCTTTAAAACAAAATGTAAATTAGTCATACCAATTTGATTTTCTGTTATTCGGGGTCTCAATAAAAAATATAGCCACTTACTCACGTGAAAGATGTTTTGTTTAAAATTTAGGAACTTAAAACTTAAAACTTAAAAATTGGGAACTAAAAGCGTCTGAACTGCACAGCCAAGTACTTTTGTTTTTAAATAAATATTTTCCTGAAGAAATACGAAGGAAATATTTAACCGGTATTCCGGAAGAACAGAAAATCTTGTGGCTATACCAGAGTTTAAAGTAGCTAAGTCTCTAACTCAACATCATCCAAAATCTTCGACATTGAAAACACTAATTATTTGTCAATTTAAATCAACATTGATGTTGTGATCTTACGGGGTAAAGATGGGCTTCTGATATCCAATAATTAAGACAAAATAAACATTTTACCATTGGTACACGAATCGGGGTCTTCCCATATCGCCGACTCACCGAGTTTTGGAAAGTCGACCGCGGCACCCTTTGATTGGATTAACACGGATTAAAAGCGTTAATGAGGCAGGGACCAGTCATTATTTATATAGTTCACTGAAATTGATTTTTACCACAGACCTTTATTGACTTTTTTGCCGAAACAATTATTAAAATTCGTGAAAAGTTTGTTGACTCCCCCACCCCTTACACTGATATTAATGTCCCACCCAAGTGTAATTTCTCTGCTTTTGAGCCATTGAATGTTGATGATGTAATATCAGTGGTGCGTCGAATGAAGTGTAAGTCATGTGCTCTGGACCCAATTCCTACAAAACTACTAAAAGAGTGTCTGGATGAAATAGCACCAGCTTTGACGATTATTATAAATGATGTGCTCTCCTCTGGTATTTTTCCGGATGATTGCAAGGAGGCCATTGTAAGACCTCTGATTAAAAAAACAAGTCTTGACCGTAATGCACTCAAAAGTTATAGACCAGTGTCAAATATTTCATTTTTAGCAAAATTGCTTGAAAAGATCATTTTATCTCAAATAATAGATTATCTCACTCGAAACTCACTGCTCGGTAAATTCCAGTCTGCTTATCGAGAGGGGCATAGCACTGAAACCGCACTCCTAAGAGTGCATAACGATGTTATAGATATGAACAAGGAAGACTGAATTTATTAGAATTTTTGGACTATGTTGGACTGAGTGCAAAGATTTAAAATTGTGTTATGTTATGTATTATAAATTAAAAAAAAAATAAATGCTCCCAAAATTATCTGCTTAATGAGGTTTATCCTTCAGCTTGTGTCTATTGTTCTTGGCCACTCATTCCCATAACGTCGACCAAAATTTTCCCCCTAAAACTCGGTGAGTCGGCGATATGGGAATGAACCCACGAATCGTGTACCATGGTGCATTTCAACGCCATTTTTAACAAGGGACTCGTAGAAAGAGGCTAGATATATTCCACAAGTCATGTCAAACGGTGACGTCATATTCTTATCTGGAGAGCATGCGCAATAAATACTATCGGTATAGAGTGGAATAACCAGACGCTAGAGATTGCCATTGGATTGATACTTCTGGCTTATTAGAAATTGCAGTAAAAAACAGAAACGATTGAATGTAAATCAGTTTATATACATTCACATTAAATTAATATATACGTTGAGACCCATTTGTGTAAATTTCTAGATCCAAAATATTAGCGATTTAGATCCTTTAAGTAATAATTATTTGGAATGTTGTAATATTTCCATTATGTATTTTTATAACTAAGCGCTAACTTATCAGATAATCAAAATGTTTGCTGAACAATTACTAAAAACCGAATCAGATCATCGTAAAAATAACAATGGTGTCTATACGTATAAGCCAATGAGATACCAATTCTACATGAATCCCAATTTCTAATCTTCCTTTTTAAATATCAGTCTGTCTGTTCCTATGATCAGTACTTAGAAAATGCGTTACTTCATGATTTAATGTTAACCTTTTATTTTGTATAAATACAAAAACAAAGTCACTGATTTACAAACAAATTGGTATCGCCACCTCTATGAACGATCAAAATACCAATATACCGTTGTTGAAAAATGAATACCTGAAGGTCGAATATTTAATTTATTTCTAATAACTATTGATATATCTTCTATTATAGCCTCACATCAATCCTGTTACCACGTGGAACGTCTCTTGGGATTTTATCCAATTTTACCGTTTTTGTGTTATCTACCTGTCACTGATGTATATTCGGTCAAATGTTCGTCGTACTTAAGGATGCAATTATGGCTGCAATTGTCTGGCATTCCATAGATATTATATGTATAGACAGGTATTGCATCTAGCTATATATTTTGATAAATAATTCTTATAATGGAACACTTTATGATTATTGTTGTTCTAACCCCGTGACGTCGTCACCAAGGTAACAATACACTGTGAAGGTCGGACAGGAAATCGGTAAACTGCATGATATTAATTTTGCCTGATTGGAGAAACTACCTATCTCTTTTTTAACATGCGCCGAATAGGTAATCAATTATTCGGATTCAGTGAAACCGACTAGGTAACGGCAAGGATTAGTTTTTGGGAAATGATGAATAGCTAAAACGTGATGGTTATCTAATGTTAGGAGATCAGAGAGGATAGGCGTATCGATTTTTCTACTGTCTACATGGTAAAACAGAAAGAAGAATAAAATGCCCGGAGCGAGGCGGGGACTTGTCGCCCCACAAAATACCTTCCTCGAGAACATCATCCGTCGTTCTAATGGACAACGTAAGTAGAAATTTTATCACCTTTACTTACTGACATTTTATTTTATACAAAATTGTAAAAAAGATTCTCACAGAAATGTGAATTTAAAAAACAAAACAAACGGGTTGACAGTTCCATTCTCGGCGACATTAGACTAATTGTACTTCAATAGATACATACATAAAACATAGGTGTTTTGTCTTTTTTTAAATTTATCAACATCTGTGTATATGAGGTATCAAATACTTATAGGCCTATGATATTATGTAGTATAATATACCATTGTTTATTATTACCTATATAAGTATTGAATATATGTATATACATGTCTATTGTGACAAGACTACAATGGAATGATATCTCGCACTGTATTATCGATTGCTATATAACAGTGAGTGATATGGACCCATCTTTTTAACAACTTTAGTCATTTCATTGCACAATTCCATCGACTTTAGATAAAGGAGCTGTCACATAGAGACAACACAATTCTGTGGATTTTAAAGACGGTTTTAAAGGATGTATACTTTAGTGGGTTAATGAATTGAAAATCGTTATATTATGATAGTGTAAATTAGTCAGAAATCAATGAGCTGATATACTAACGTGTGTGTTCATTTTACCGATCAATATACCCTTCGTTACCGGCCAGCTGGCTTGCCAACGGAACCACTTGATAATTATGTTAAAACATCTTTTCTATTTTTGCTTTATTAGGCGAACAAACTGCTTGGTCGCATCTAAAAGCTCTTTGAATTATTAATAGGCAGTCGCAACACGCCACTGGGATTATATTCTCGTGCCGGAATAGACACCTTTCCACTCAAACCCACTCATAGAAATTGCCAAAGCCTCTTATAAGAAATGCTATCCAGTTAATGGCTGAAACTTGTCTAATGACGGACAATAAATAGATTTAGTATTCTGAAATTAATAGAACATTAATAGTTTTGAAAATCTATTTACAGAATAAATAATTATTAAATAATTTTTCAGGAATAATATAAATTTATCGGAAAAGGGAACATCCTAAGATTGTAGAAATTACAAAAAATATCTGATAGAATTATAGAAATTTGCAAAAAATACATGATGGGATGATTGGATTTAAAAAAAAACCAACTTATGGAACAATATTTATCAACGCATTAGAAATGTACACTTACAAAGGATTATGAGAGGGGTTGGGTGGCCGAATGGTTAGCGCGTGTGTGTTGTATTATAAAGTCTGTCATTGAGTCAACTGGCGTGATTTCGATTCTCCGGTTGTACGTGACAAGGAGTAGGATCACCTGTCCAACCTCGTAGGTTTTCTCCGGGTCCACCGGTTCCCCCACCCTCTCTCTCTCTCTCTCCCTCTCTCTCTCTGCCCCCCCCCCCCTCTCTACAAAGGATTATGGAAATGAAATGGGGGTTATCGTTCTGATTTTTCAGCTAAGGATTATTGACATTCAGAAATGTTTATCTTATTTCAAAACAAAATCTAAAAATAATGTATAACGGGATTAAAGAAATTGAAGAAAGTATACGATGTCATTATAGGAATGTACATCTCATGATTGAAAGTAGAAAGATTAGCACTATATTATCTTGGGGAAAAAACCTATATAGCTATGACAGGATTATATACTTTTCCAACCCATAACCTAAATTCGATATGATAAATGTGTCTGTAATGAGCACATAATCCATATGTCTGATTGGACTACACTTTTAAATCATGACAAATGTAAAGAAAAAAAAAATCGTAGAATTATTGGAGACACACAGATAAGCACAGATCTAATTAGAACCATAGAAAACAAGCAGCAACCAATATACTCCCGCCTCCAGCTCCATCAAAAACATTACCGGAAACCGATGTTTTCTGCCATTTTTACATGACATTCTGTGGTGATTCATGTAATCCCTACACCCCCCACCCCAGAAATGTAGCGTTTTCAGGGGGATATTTACTCTTCTATCTAGGGTAATATAATTTTTACTAACCATTAAATAATTCGGAGTTAAAGAATTATTGTGCTATTAATTGTCTCCAGGGCATGAGGTATTTATTTGTAAGTGATGATGTTGTTTGAACAGTCGGACGGTTTAATTAATTGTTGCGTTCTCATTTGGATTGATACCCGAACTTTTCTATGGATTCCAGTCCACTGTTTGTATGTAGCACTGGGGTGAAACTCGTGTAAAATCGTAGTTAGCTTTCTTATGCTGTTTTTGAATCATGTCATATTTACTGTAATTACGAGTTACCGAAAATTGCCCGATTCATATTACTAGTCATAATTTTACACCCTATGGCCTTAAAGGCTTAAGTAGAAAGTGTGATTGCAACTTGATTATCGCCTCAACTGACTGGGTTTTTTTAACGGCTTCTTCCACATAAGTGATATCGCAGATAAGTTATCGCCTTATTTTCTATGGTAGATTTATACGTACGAGATAATAATAAAAAAACTAACGCATGGGGCGGGTCCAGAGGCTACATAAGGAAATGTAAAACAAAACTTTTACGAGAAAAAAAAGTGTCAAGGTCGTGTGCTTTATCCTTTATCAGACGGTGTGATGGAATGGGCATTCAAGGCGCGAGATAATAACATAGTGATATCACAATCAATGCTTTGTATCAATAAAATTGAATCACAATGGGATCCTATTGATTTATAATAAAAATTGATGTCAAACGGGGTGTTGGATTTCACTCTTTAAAAAGCTCAGTATGTATGTATGCCAACGTACTTTGCATCATGCATTGTCAACTGTCAAATTTCCTTAACGGGAACCTGGCACCCCCCCCCCCCCGCAACAGTAACGGACTAATCCATGAATTCTAATCCGCTATGTTTTGATCCCAATCTGTTTAGTTTTGTAATTTGCTTACCGAAATAGAAATTGGCATTATAGGGTTCCAGCGGTGTAATTTTTGTGACAATCCGAGAAGATTGAACTCCTGAAAGTTGCCTCCCTAGGAAAATACATTCATACGCACTTTCAATTTCTTAATCACTAGAAACGTACTTTGCCTCGGCCTCAGTCAAGGTAAAGATGACCTTTCTTCCAACTTGGAGTGTTGGAATTTTATCAAAGGTTAATCAAACTCTGAGACAGTATTACACGAACCGTTTTAAAGCTCAGTATATAAAATGAAAGATGGTAATTTATAGAATTACCAGTGGTATCCATTGTTTCGGTTAATTGCATAAACGGACGAAGATAAGCCCAGGAGAAAGCGTTTTTATTTTTATTTATTTATATATTAATATATATATATTTTTTTTTTTTTTTTTTTTTTTTTGGGGGGGGGGGGGTCTTTTAGAATCCGTTATTCTTGTGCTAAGCACACATCCGAAACTCTATGATAACTTGTCTAATCACCCTGCTCTGCGGAGTGAAAATCTCCCTCTATGCTTTCGTATTGATGTTTTCCAGCGAGAACGGTTACTGCTGCGTTTCAGTATCGATTAGTCGAGTTTGTCAGGTCACTCAAAGAAAAATTGAAGGCGAGGGATCTAAAAGAGTTGCATAACTCCCATACACTCCTTTGGCGATCATTTCCAAAATGGCACAATATTTTAAGCCGAAACGTTCCGACAAGATACATACTAGCAAGGTTTCTCATTTGGGTGATATTTAAACTTTAAGAACAGTATATTGTAGAAAAGAATATGGATTTCTCAGCAAATTAGAAAACTGAGATTGCGTGAATCTGTTATAGATTGCACCTAGCCAGTGGTATATTATAATCTTTATGCAAATGTAAAATTTCGATATGTACGTCAGTCAACTCCGTGTCTGTCCCTGGGTTATAAAATATTAAACAAAGATCACAACGACTTATAATAATAATTAAGTAAATAAATCTTCCCAAGAGTCAACTGATCTGCCAACCAGTACATGTACATGTAATAATGGAAGTTAGATACTCATGCATATAAAGTAGTCTATATGATTAAATATACGGTTGACATCGAGAGATAACGCTTTGATTTGGAAGGTGAAACCCAGAAGCAGATTATAGCAGGCAGGACTCCCGCGTACTGTGTGGGTGGATGGGGGAGGGGTCGAATCGGAGAAAAGGGCTCCTCTGTGTTAAATCGAAAGGCACGCGAATCTTCAAACAAATTTCTCCTAAAGATATTTTAATTCAGGTTCCAGATGGCGAAGGCCAGTTTCTTTTGTCAGCTTTATTTCCAGGGAGTGGGTGGTTAACAATTGTAGAACTACTGTCCAATTACAATCCTTAATCTATATCGAATTCTCTTTTTGCGCAATAAAATAATTGAGTTCAGTAAAACCTTGCCAAAGAGTTAAAACACTTATATGGATATACTACTTCTGAATTTATTAACATGCTACGTTTCGATACACATACAGATATCGTTATCAAGCAAAAGAGATTCTATGGTTTGAATAAACTTCTCATATTCTTATTATCACGTGTTTCACCTCCGTATACACAGTTTCGCCACGGCGAAAATGTCAGACGCTTTCCGTACAATCAATAGGTCGCCCTTTTTTTCGCCATGGCGAATATAAATGAAATGTTGTTTGACCTCTTACTTTTCGTCAGATTTGGCCAACGAGATGATCATTTCAATTTTGTATCTAAACCAAAAGAAAGGTCCTCTAAATCTCTTCTAAGGCGATGTAATGTTTAAAATTTTCTGGGGGAGGACACCCCCCTCGCTAGGTCCCTTCGGAACGAACTGCCTCCTGTGGCCGATCTCTTAATCCGCCCCTGGGAAACCAACCGGGCATTGTTCTTTCTGTATCACTACAGTTCAGATTCTATACGATTCACCCATTTTACCAAGCTATACATATGTACCGTGGAGTTCTTCATGGTGACTTTGTACGGGATAAATGTATTATATTAAGTATAAACATTTTACTTTGTTTTATTGTAGATAGCAGCTTTCTCTTAGCTAATGCTCGAATTGTAGACTACCCGATTGTATACTGCAATGATGGCTTCTGTAAATTATCCGGTTACAACAGAGCCGAGGTCATGCAGAAGAGCAGTACGTGTAGTTTTATGTACGGTGACCTCACTGATAAAGAGACCATTGCCAAACTGGAAGGGGCGTTTGAAACCTTGGAACAAGAACACGTTGAAATACTCATATACAAGAAAAACCGTAAGTCTTTACAAAATAACACCAATATATAATAAAACAATTAACCTAATCAGAAGAAGCAGAATTAAGTAAAGGGTCCCAAGTAAAGTTTAAGAAGATTAGGTAGATCAATGAAGGACTCATTACGTTATTTTTGGCTCCCCGACCAAACACAATTCACCCCCCCCCCCCCCACACTTCTTGATCTGGTAGGGTCGACTGCTATCTCTTGTTGCGCGGAAACTATGAAAACGGTTTTGCTTGGTACGAGTGCCTTACAAGTTACATTTTTAGTATAGTTGCAAAAGTCGACCAAAACCTGAACACTAAGTATAATGGTAGATCTGTACCGTTGGCCTAATGAAATAATACTAAGTACAAAAGAAAAATAAATTATATAACTAAAAGCTGTAATTAATTAATAACTTATACTAAAATTAACACACGAAATTACATAAGCTGTCAGTAAAATAGTTACTATTTGAAAATGAAGAAACCGAATAGAATTCCAGTGCCTAAGGAACCGAGTTAAAACACCTGTTCATCAATACTTCTAATATATTTACCTGTATTAAATTTATATATATATTGTTAGTGAGTCCATAATAGCTGGTTCAATGGACTGTATTGGGATGGCGTGGAGAAAAGGGTAGACAGAATGTAGTGATAGGTCACAAGACTATGTCTTGCTAACTCCTGACTAATTAATGTTCTATAGTTGTCTATCTACATGAACTGAATTGTTTACCAGCAATTCGCAGGAATTCGTATTGTAGATAATTAATCAGTCGTATACCGACACACCAACCAACCAGATGTTAGATAAACAAATTAGTATGGATATAGCTCGTGATATTAGAAAGATGGTTAGATTTAATCATTACATGTTTACATAGAGGTTTTATTGCATGACGCAGACAAAATAAAGCTATCCACATGATGATGTTTTACAAGTACGTGTATCCTATAGTTATGTTCCTACAATTACGAAACAGTGGCTGCATCGCCGTCCAAAATTGTGGTGTGGCTATTGTGTTTTGATTTCTTGTCATCTGAATAGTGATAAAAAATAAAATATAGCAAATACAATTTTTTAAATTACTGTGGAATTGGTGATTCTTTCGCAACCGATACAGCTTTCTACGCGTTGACCAAAGTCGTCGTTGCAAAGCTAGTTATCTTCAGTGACAACTGATAACATTGTCTGGAAAAGGGTGATCGCTTGTAACTGCCATCGTATTATCACCCAATCACCGAGCTCTCACCTTAGGTGCCAAACCACACCCCCTTCACGCGCATTTTATGGGATATCGCGAGACTTTCTCTCTTAATATTTATCTTCACTGAAATTTGGTAACATAAACAAAAATTACAAACGAAACCAAATAGTAAAACATAAAGCCGACCAGGACACGTCTACTAGCTAAACACCCAACAACTTCCTTTAAACTAAAATATACTGAAACCCCCTTTTTAAATCCAGATTCTCTTTGATCTAAACCGAGACTACCTATAAAACTTCTATAAAGACAACCTGTTGAAAAGTCCAGCATCTAAACCGTGGCTATCAACAAGTTTTGTATAAAACAATCTATCGCCAATAAGAACCGAAAAGGGCGTGAATTTTTTGTTTTGCCATAGCACCCGAAGTACATGACTATCTACTGGAATGAACGGTCAAAATCAATGATACATAACGCTTGATTTCAACCGATAATAAATTTCAGTTATGAGAAGGTGGTTTTGCTACATTGGGCTGGGTATGTTTAATTAGTCGTAATGATATATACTTATTCTATTTTTAAGGCGTTATATATGGGAGCAGGACGGGGGGGGGGGGGAGCTGACAAGGACAACTGTCTAGTTGTTCGGATGGGACCAAAATAACTGAGGTTCCGTATACACATTGGCGTGCACGTAAAATATCCCTTGACAGTTGGGATTCGATATAAGAGTAGGCCGTATTGCCGCTGTCCGGGCAAAATTTCCCTTATAGCACACTGTATGGCGTATGTCCGTCTTCATTAGCCCAGTTCGGAGCAGAACAGTAGGACGTTAAAACCCCAATTTAATTTAATTTCTCTTTCTCTCTCTCTCATCGCCAATTTTTAATATAAAATTGCACCATATTAGTCACTGAATAACTCTTAGTTTGTGTCGAGTGGACGTTACCCCCCCACCCCCCCACAGAACAATATATATTCAGCCTCTACACTGCATTTCTATCCAAGTATTTCCCTTTTTAACGTTTTGCATGTACAATATGCCTATTCTTAATTGCAGGTACCGTAATGACCCAGAATCTGAATCCTCATAGAAATTTCAATTTTATTTGTAAGACATGCTTAAAATCATTAGAGAATTTTGGCGGCGGTACTGCAATGAAACGTCACTATTCGACTCGTTCTTACATTTCCTAGCCATGGTGATAATCTAATTTGAAATAAAATAATAATATACAATCGGGAAAACCTGTATATTTTATATGCGGTATGAAACCACAGTAGGCCTAAATACAATTCAATTATCAATGCGCGTATTCTAATGTGACCTTGAAAGTAAAAACTACATCAACTTCCGAGGCGAAAAGTCGACAGCACGACAGCAAGCCAAAATCATAGGTCGCTAATATCGCCTTCAATACTAGAATTTATCATACAGACTGTTAAGGCAAATTGCATGTATACTATTCAAAAAAAGTAGGGGATATTTGATTTTGGGCGCATAATACTAAAATATGCAAATGACTACGAAAAAAGTCACTATAGAACCTAATAGAAGAAACATTTCCAGTTACATGTGACGCCCAAACGCACCAATAGCTACCGCATGGAATGCAGGTGATGCTTGGGATCATCATGGGGGTCCAACCCAAGATTTGCACGACTCTGACTTTGAATGTTACAGTCATTGTGGCATTGAATTCCAGGGTGGAAACATCAGTTTAATTGTTTTAGTGACCAGAAAACAAATTTTGATATGCGTCGGCTTACCCAAAATGAAAGGTTACGTGCCCTTGGCATGCTACAGATCGGCACAACACAGGCGGTTGTGGCGCGGACGATGAGTGTTTCTCAGTCTGTCATAAGCAGGCTATGGTCCAGATACCGTGATACACAATCTGTACAGGACAGACCACGCTCAGGTCGACCAAGGGCGACAACTCAAGCCCAGGATCGATTTATCCGTACCTTGGCCTTGAGAAATCGTGTCATCACAGCAAATCAGATCAGCGCTCGTCTTCAAACAGACACTGGTGTGAGAATGAGTGGCCAGACGATTCGGAATCGACTGCATAGGGGTCACCTTCGCGCCCGACGTCCTCGCGTGATCCCTTGTTTGAGAGATCATCACATTCAGGCAAGACGTCGTTGGTGTAGGGATCGTCAACACTGGGATAATCGACGCTGGAGCAATGTGATGTTTTCAAATGAGTCAAGGTTCACTGTTGATTTTTTGGACAGACGTAGGAGGGTGTGGCGTCGTCGAAACGAGCGCTTCCAAGACGTTAACGTCATCAGACATGATCGATTTGGGGGTGGTTCTGTTATGGTGTGGGGAGGCATCACTGTTGCTGGAAGAACGGCTTTACATGTTGTTGCAGGGCGTGTTACAGGCCAGTACTACCGGGACAACATCTTGGCAGTCCATGTTGTGCCGTTCGCACGACGTCATGGCCGCCGTTTCATCTTCCAGGATGACAACGCAAGATGTCACAGGGCCAGGATCGTTACAGGTTACCTCCAACAACAGAACATCACCACATTACCTTGGCCAGCACTGAGTCCCGACCTCTCCCCCATCGAGCATGTCTGGGACATGCTTGGACAGAGGTTACGTCAACGTCAACAACGTCCTGCCAATGTCCAAGAACTTGTTGCTGCGTTGCAACAGGAATGGGACAATCTGGACCAAAATGACCTTAGACGTCTCATTAGGAGTATGCCACGTCGGATCAATGCTTGTTTGGCAAACAGAGGAGGATTTACCCGTTACTGACTTGGTTGTGATGCTGTGGTAACTTTGCTGTTTGACCCCGGGTATCATTTTACCCCTATAACGATCATTTGGAATAAATCGATGAATGTGAACTTCATTTCATTTAAAAATCAAATATCCCCTACTTTTTTTGAATAGTATATTTAAATGCGACCTGGCAAATTGTGACTACAACCACTTCCGAGGCGAAACTCGAAAAGTCGCCAGTACGACAGCAAGCCAAAATGATAGGTCGCTAATAGCGCGTGTGTTTATTTCCTAATTTCTACTTTTCGAGTTGCATTTTGGCTTGGTATGCGACAGTTGTCCTTGTCAGTCCCCCCCCCCCCGCCCTGCATCACTGACAAGGGAGAATCCGCCGGAAAATCTGGATGAACTTTCTCGGCCAATGCAGGGATCGAACACCCGACCTCCACGTCCTGCATCACTGACAAGGGGGAATCCGCCGGAAAATTTGGATGAACTTTCTCGACCAATCCAGGGATTCAACACCCGACCTCCAGGCTGGCTTAACATCCACTCGTTGCAAACTAAATCATTTCAATAATTCGTTTGCACGTAGGGGTCTTTAGCAGTCGATAGAAACTGGGGTATCCGGAGAAGACCCACAAGGTTGTTTAAGCAAGGAATCGAAACCACACCACTTGAATCAATGTCAGACCTTGTGATTTCACGCGCACGTGTTAAACCACTAGACCACCCAATCCCCATGTATGTTATTGTATATTGTAGATATCGGTACGAGAAATTTGTTTTATAATAGGCCTATATAATAAATTAAATTGTTGTAGCCTAAGGTGTGGGGTTTTTTTTATCAGACATTTTTGGCAGATAAAATATCCCAGTTGGCGGGAAAAAAATATGAACATTTTTTTTATATAAAAATTATTATCCATTTTGACGGAAAAGAATGAAATACAGTGTGAGCCCTGATTGCACGTATTCCAATGCGACCTGGAAAACTGAAACCATAACAACTTCCGTGGCGAAAAGTCGCTAATAGCGTGGTGTGTTAATTTCCT